ATACACCTGAGGGTTCTGAGAAAAATTGGAGGAAATTGCTGAGGCCCCTGAGATTATATTTCATAGCTCAATGGAAGAAATTACATACCAGAAGACTGGAGAGTGGCTAAGGTCAAACACATCTTCAAGAAAGGAAATAATGCCAGTTAGCCTGACACCGTAGTGGGAAAAGTAATAAAATCTATTCAAAGACTCCATTACCAATTTTGTTGATGAGGAAAATATAGTTAGAAAAAGACTTCATGGGTTTCAGAAGATCCTGTTTGACAAACTAAATATAATTTTTTGAGGGGGAAATAAAAACGGTTGACGAGGGACATAAGGTAAATGTAGTGTACAAGCTGAACTCGATATAACAAACACCCTGGGGACCTGGGAAAAAGTGCATTCTTTTTTCGCTATAAACATTGAAATACTGAAATGGCCAAATGTTACACGTGGTGAGCAGTCATCTACTGAAGGGGAAGAGGAATGACTATGGGCTGAGGGAGGGGGTGGGCTGTCTGAGCAGCCGCCTTATGCTGTCACTCTCAGGTGCTTAGATAAATTTGTTTGCTCAATTCCGACATTCAGTTGCCAAGCATGGCACTTTGCAGCCAGTTAAGCTGTGAGACCCCACTTCCCTCCCTTGACCCAGGAGGGAAAGTCACCAGTTCATCATCTGACATCTGACAAGCATGGGATTGAGCCCTCACTAGGTGGATGGCAGGTACAAGGAACACCCTTGCGAGCTTTCTGGTGGGTAACACAGCTCAGCACGAAATGCGTGAGAGCATTGCCATTATCTTCACTTCTACAGCTTGGATACACATTCCTTCCCATTGAGTGATGGTTCCACCAGTTGGAGGTGTGGATCTTGAGCAGCAGCTGCTTACCTCTCTCTCTGTATTCCAATCAGGGGAATCAAAGCCCCGAATGTTCACAAACTCAGACTCCAGGTAACTCCTTCCAGCAACTATCGCCTCAAGCCTCAGTTTCCTTATCAGCTATTTGCTGAGCTTACCCAGTTTATGACAAATGCATTTCACTACTTAATCCTAGAGTTTGTAAATGGGCCTCTCCGCTGCACCACCAAGAGCTCAGAACCAAAAAGGAGAACTATTTGCAGACTGGACTTATATGTCACAATCTTGATCCGCATTGGGACCTTGCTGTCCTTGAAGATAAGCATGATCAGAGTGCCCTTCGCCCCTTTTTCTGTGTGGTCCCTCATGTAAATATTGGTGTCCACCACAGCCCGCCATCATGTCCCACCGAGTGGCCAAGTGTTCAAGATCTAGTGCAGCGCATAAGGTCCTCAGATGAGTCCACCAGCAGTGCAATATCTTCAGCAAACAGAAGCATTGCTATTCTGTCAGGAAAGCCTGGACAAGATGCACCAAGTCCGTACCCCTTGATGCCATTGATGAATGTATTGAATAAGATGGTGATAGTGGACAGCCTTGCCTTATCTCCTTTCAAGAGGGAGAGCTTCAGTGAGTCCACCAAGAACCCTTACATGGATCTTGGAGCTGAAATACACATTCCGGATAAAATCTAAGATTTGGCCATGTTCTCCCATGGTTTGTAGTTACATTGTGAAAACCTTGTGGAAATCAAGAAACACAATGTCGGTGGGCTTTCCCTGAACCTTATGAAGTTCCATGATCACATATAAAGCTGCAACTTGTCCTACACATTCCTCACGAGAACAATTCTAGCCTGTTTCTTTCTGATCAAACCACGAGCCTCCAATATCTAGGTTATCCGTGCAGTGACTATCTGAAGCACCACCTTAAATCACTAAGATTTCTCGGTAGATCCAGGTCTCACTAAGTCATCCTTTTTTGTGGACAGATTGCACTATGGAACAATGACGGAAAACATGCCTCAGAGAGAACCCTGTTGACCTGCGCAAGGAGGACAATTCCAAGGTGAGTTGGTGCTTCTGGTTTTCATTTGTTCACCTCGCCTTCAGAACAGTTTTTAGGAACTTGTCATTAACGCCTTTGGCACCTACTGCCTCACCATGAGCAAGGCTGCAGTGTAGAGCACACCTCCTCCCCGGGGCACTGAGCCCCTCAATTCTTATGGGTTTATTGTAGAACACCAGACTTGTCAAACAACTGGTCTCTCGGCCAGAGGAAGCCTTCTGGCTATGAGCGACGACGGACCTCAGCCAGCAGAAGAAAGATCATGAAAGATAGAGGCACAGACAATAGGCTAAACGGCCGCCAACTGTACTGAAAATTTCAATGTAATTCTCGGGTTTGTACATTAAGAATATGAACCCTGTAGCTGCTAATATCCCCAGAAAGTTGTTCAATTGTCCGTTTCCTGACAAAACAGAGGACGTGTAGACACTGTCAACACCTCTTCGCAAATCACGTAATCTAAACCTAAATTTCTAACTACTTAAGAGACATATGAAATACCCTTTTTCTAAAACAGTTTTTTTCACGCGATTCCACCTAAAAATTACGCGAGGATTGCTCCACAGAAGCAATACCCCAACCTATCACACTTTCAAAGTTCACATTCAGTTTTTTTTATAACGAAGAGAGCCTTTGATGGCTGGGAACACATGCTGACCACTTTCTCACAGCGCATGATATATAGCACAATAACTGGCAAAGACGTTTGAAAATAAAAACAAATTTTACAAGGGACAGAAAGGATCTCAAACAAACTGGAAAAGGCACAAGATCAAAAACCGAAGATGAGCTGTCACATGTCATTACTAACAAACTCCATCAGTAAGAAACAACCTGGCCCTTTGTTACCTCAATCTGCTACTAACCATCCCTGGCAGGTATCTGCGCTGGACTTTTGCATGAGAGGCACCAGAGAAGGATGTCAAATGAAATGGGAGCAGTGGTTGTACACGGTCACAAAAGGTACGGACATAAAAATACAATTCTAGGAATAAATTACACATCACTTCAAAAAAAAATACACAAGCAGGACTGAAAAGTGCTAAGGTCACACAAACTAAATGAAAGAACGAACAACCTCCTGCAGCACAAACAAGAGCAGCAGAAGGTTGAGCGTCTGGTAAAAAACATCCTTGCTTCCATTCAACTCTGATAACTCTCACATCTCTTCCTTCGGAACACTGCAGCTCCAGCAGCAGCCACATGATTTATTCACATCGAAATGGAGACAAAGAGCTTGAGTTTGTTCTGCACGGCTGCAGACAGTCTCATCCATCCCCACAATGATCCATAAAGTTCAGATCTGAAAGAAGTTCATTCTCTGGTTGGCCCCATAAAATAAATGGTTCCCACAGGCTGACCACATAGTTGTGAGAGTGATGTATGCTCCTAAGACTCTGCCAACAGAACAGCGAATAGACACCCAATTCCCAGCCACCAACAATTTGTCTTCCTCTCCCCGCTCCCACCAACAATCCTCAGAAATATGAATGGAGATCTTCAGTTCACTCCAATCACTCAGTCATCAGACAAATAGTGGAATAACTTGCATTTTTGTACATTACAATTACCCTTACATTTGCTGTACAGCACCTATAACATATTTATAATTCACAACATATTTGTAGGTGAATGCAGCAGCCAATTTTCATACACCCGAGTGAATGATTAACTTATGGGGAAGATTCATGGCCAGACACCTTCCTTTCTCCAGTCGTGCCTTTAGGATCTTTAATATCCACCGATCTTTAACAGGCACACAGAACCTTAATTCGATATCTCATCTAAAGGACGGTGTCATCGTCAATATAGCCCTTCCCCCAGTGTGAGAGCATCAGCTGAGAGTGTGAGCTCAAAGTCCTGACATGGGACAATCTTCTGATGCAGAAAATGTGACAGAAGCAAGGCATTGGCACAGATATAGACAACAGGTGCAAGGGCAAACATGCCATGCATTTGAATCTTGTGGTCCGCGGGACCATGGAAAGACTTGGGATGTCTGCAGTGAGCAAGCAACACTCTTTTTAAACCATGTGTGCTCACATATCCCTGATGTAACTTGCAAATGGCAAGACACAAAAGCAGTGTTTAACATTCCTGAACCATAGCGAAATATATCTCCCTGTTTCCTCTCTCTTCTGTACCATTTGGACAAGAGTTGAATAATGACGAGGTAGCATCCCAGCTGCTGTTGTTATCGTTTTAAAGCTGAGACAGTTTGAAGTTCAAATGTTACCAGTCATTCAATTTATTGAATTCAATTTAGCATTCAGGTGGAGTAGCAGGGCAGATTGTATCAGTGCCAGCACAAACCAAGCTAACCAGAGAGAAAAAACTCTGGGTGAAGGATTTTATCAGGAAAAAAGGAAACAAGCACAAGGGCTGCTTGTAAATGATGGCTGTCCCTTCCCCTTAGCAAGCTAGATCAAATGGAGACAGCTGGAGCTGCCTCAGTAATAAACTGGGCCCTACTTCACTGAAGCCAACACATTTATTTTATGACCCAAAATATAAAAGCTCAACAGATGTCACCACGCAGTAACCTTCAAAAGATGGAATCCCGCCACTGCATCCCACTCAAAATTCACACTGTTAGGAAGAATGATTTGTTTTCTGCTGCTACTGGTAATTGTTCTGTATTGGGTTGGGATACTCTGAAGCATGGTGATGGGTTTCTGTATGTGTCAAGACACCTAGCCGACCAATTTTTTTTTGTGTTTTCATCTCTACCCCGTTTTCAGCTTTCCCTGAGCTACACAACCAAGAAGGCAGCAAAGCCAATCGTTGTCAAATTATGTTCATTTGTCAAGGAGAACTGGTGTCTTCTCCCTGCCCCGGCATCAAAGAATTGACAGCTCATAGAGCAGAAAGGGATTCGGATGCAGATTGTTCAGGTTCACTGTAACATACAGGTCCTTACTGTGCAAGTTTCCTTCACTGCTTGACCCACCCCACCCAGAAAAGGAAACAAAGAAACATATATTTGGAACCATTTATATTTCATACAAGATCATGTGTAGTCACCGTACTGAAACCAAGCTAATGTTTCTACAATATTCTGTAAGTGTTGAATCATTTATAAAGTACCTTAAGCTTAGACTTGTGGGGTATTGGTGAGAAGCCTCTGGCATCTGGTGGAATGCGCAGTTCCCATTTTCCAAATTCCAGCTTTTTGTAGGGATGGGATGAGGTATTCCATTGATCTAGGGTAGAAGACACAGGATACTTTGATGTTATACAGCAATGACTGCACGTCTAGAGAAGAGTTATATTCTTCAAATCCCCAAAATATTCTGTTGTCAATTATAACATTATATATTAGTAATTAGTGTGTCAGCCTGGCTCAGTAGGGCAGCACTCACGTCTTTCAGTCAAACAGTACCTTCCACAAGCTGCTGATTATTCAGAATTATTCCCTCCTTTGCCTCCTTCAAGGACCGTTTTAAGACCTTCCTTTTCGACTGTGCCTTTGATCATCTTCCCTCCTCCATTCCCCTTACGCTTCACACCTCTCTGATCCCAACCCGCAGTTCGGGTGCAAACCCCTCACTGGGATGTCCCCCCGATGTAAAAGGTGCATAAATGCAAATTGTTGATGTTGTGTCTGTTCTGAAAATGCCATTCACAGTCCTAAACCTGTGTCCTCTTGTTTTGCTGTCTTGGTGCTTCTGAAAGTATTATTGAGAATAATAATCCTTGATTTGATACAACAAATCAGGTTGTTGAAGCGTCACAAAGCGCTTCACCGGATTTTACTACAAAGTGAGTGACTGCATTTTGTAGTTGAACCCAGCAGCTAATTTGCAGACAGCAATGTCCCACAAAGAGTCAAAGATGAAGTTAATTGACACTTTTATACTGGAAGAACAAGATCATCCATATATTGTGTTTTTGCAAGCACATTATTTTGTTCAGTCTGCAGCAGCCCAGGCTGACCCAATGTCACCTCCAGATATATCAGTTTTTACAAGCCTTTGTTCAGTGCCCCAGATTGATTATTGTGAAGTAGTACCAATTATTTGTTGCAATAACAACCTGAACTTTACATACCAGTTTTGATGTAGGGTGAAAGTCTCAAAGCACTTTTCCTATATTTTTCCAACTAGTAGGCACAATTCCAATGTCTAATCTTACATACCCAGGGAAAGATAATGTCAATTACTCCTACACCCCCCCACGTTCTTTCCTAAACCAGCTTGGGTTGAATCCAAATCTCGGTTCAAGAAGTGCTAACTAACTACGACAGAAGTACTTTAAGACTTGTACTGCTCTTCCTTCCTCCAACCCATCAGCTAATATTTTATGAATAGACAGGAACATTGTGTTGCAGGTACTTCAGATGAAGTGCTGTCAGACACACGGCACGGCATGCTTAATATTCTCATTACCACTGCTTTCTCCAGATTCTGCAACCGCGATGTTTCAGAACCCGGAAAATGTCCTTAACAAGTGCTGCCCGTGTGTCATTTGACTGGCAAGCCTTGTTGAAAACTTGGGAGAACATGTCAAGGTCTCAGTACATATGTGGAAAGCTGGCTTTTTAAGCCTGTATGCTGCCATGTATAGTTAAGTGCTCCAGGGCCACACAATTATATTTCTGGTAGGCAATGTTTAGAGGTAAGGCAACTTACCTGGGGCCAACAGAGTATATACTGCACCAGTAACACAGAACTCGCATTCTTATAGTGCATTCTAAATAAAATGTCCCAAAGGGCTTTACAATAAGTAAGTGTTGTGACTTTTTCTGCCTCAATACTGCATTAGCTAAAGTATACGTGCAGCTTGAAGCCATCACCTTTTGCAGCAAAAGTGCCACCAATTGAGCCACGTTAATAGCACACCCAGAGATCAGAATCGAGAAGTTCAAGATTGAAAACCTCATAAAATCAGACAAATTATAGCTTGATTCAGCCCATTAAAACTATGCTGGGTGCAAACTGCTAACCCACTGAAGCTATTTTACTCGAATGCCAATTCCCTGCTCTTTCCGTGCCCTTTTTACATTGTTCCTGTTGAAACATATTAAGTCAATTTAAATATTGCAGCAACTTGCCATCTGCAGCAAATAAGTTCCAAAAACTCTCCAACAGCAATCCAACAATCCAAATACTTTCTAAACTGGAGTATTGCTAGCAAACAATGCTGCGGGGGCGGGCGGGGAGAAACTCCCACCAGTTCATATGACTCAATTAATAGAACTTTTATAATACTTTCGCCCACAAATATACAGTCATTCATTTTGCAGTATATTCTGTGAAGCACTTTGAGACGTCTAGAAGTGAAAAGCACTATACCTAATGCAAGGATTATTATTATTATTATTACTTCACAAAGCATCATCAGTTTCAGGACAAGAATGTGCACCGCAATGATCCTCTTTGCTCATGTCACTTTTTATATCCTTTTAATTACCTAGGTGAAAGACTTGTAGATGGCACAATGTGCCTTACAGAAGATGTTGGTTTGATTCACCAACTTAGTGAGTTGTTGAATTCATATCATCATGAAGCAGCCCTGCACTAAAGAGCAAGTTTTCCTCACAGGTAAGAGAGGTGGAAATCCTGAAGTGACCCAAGCTCCGTGGAGACCTCCTAAGAGCCAACTAAAGCACACGTTTCAGGTGAAACTCCGCAGCCGGTGCTCTCAATTGCAAAAAAGTGTTTGGCATGAGAAAGGAGATTTTATTGATTCATTATATATGGTTGGTGTCGGCCTGGCTCAGTACCACTTCCAGCTCTGGGTCAGGTTGGTGCATTAAGTCCTGCGTTGGAGACTTTGTCATTCCACACTCTAGTGCATCGATTATGGCAGTGCTGCATATATTGGAGTGTCCTTCATCAATACAGCAGTAAAACCGTGATCCCACCTCCTTGTTTATCATCCTGGTGCCATCATCCGCAGACATGGGGTCAATTTCCGCATGCGTGCGGATGACACCCAACTCTATCTCTCTGCCTCTACCCTCGACTCCAGGACTACTGCTGTCCTGACAGAATTCTGTAGCTCACTGAGTCCTGTAGCTCAGTGGTTAGAGCACTCGCCTCGCAAGCGAGAAACCTGGGTTTGATTCCCGGCAGGGCAAAACCTGGGCAAGTTTCCTTACTCCACATGCCTGATAATAATCCCTCAAGAAAAACAAAAACAAATTGGTCACTTAATTCTACAACTGTTTATGGGACACTGCAGTGTGTAATTGGCTGCCACAATTTGCCCGCAAATTTAGGCAATTCACTTTACGGTATCTTCTGTGAAGTGCTTTGAGACCTCTAGAAGACAAGTTCCTCTCTGCCTTCCCCCACCTACTCAACATCGCCCGTCTCCGCCACTGCCTCACACCGCAGGCCATCAAGACCCTCATACACACATTCATAACATCCAGGCTTGGCGAGGCAAATTCCCTGCTTGTCGGCATCCCCAACTCCTCCCTCCACAGGCTGCAGATCATCCAGAACTCTGAAGCCCGTGTCCTCTCCTGCACCAGGCTCTGCGACACTATGACCACCATCCTCATCCGACTCCACTGGCTTCCCATCACATAGAAGATACAGATCAAAGCCCTCCATGCCCTTGCTACCCCCTACCTCTGCGACCTTCTAACACCCTACAAACCTGCCCACTCCTTCCGTTCAGCGGGCTTTGGCCTGCTTCACGTCCCCCGCCCCACCAATGGTGAGTGGGCCTTCTGCCACTCGGCCCCCACCCTCTGGAACTCCCTCCCACAGTCCTTCTGCCTCGCCCCCTCCCTTGCCTCCTTCAAGACCCTTCTCAAGACCCTCCTCTTCGACCGTACCTTCGGTCACCCTCCTGCCCTTCACCCTCCACCACCCAGTGATCCCGGCCTCGGGTCCGAATCACTGATTTGGGACGTCCTCCCGACATGCAAGTAATTTTGTTGTTGTCGATCAGGTGGATGTTAACAATCCACAACACTATTTGTAAAGAAAAAGGAGTTTCTCCCAGAAACCTCAATTTCACCATCTCTTACGACAATGCAACCTTCCTTCTGTGCTGCACTGGATTATCACCGGCCCTGGGTAAGAACCCATAACCTTCTTACCCCAGGCAATAGTGCTAGCGAGCGGGTGAATCTGACACCATCTGTGTGCCAAGCATAAATATCAGCTTCTTGACCTCCAATAAGACTATTCTCGAGCAGCCAGGAATCACAGTTCAGACTGAGGAGCTTGCACTTTACTATGGAATCCTGTAGTCTAGTGATTAGAGCACTCGCCTCTCGAGCGAGAGACCTGGGTTTGGTTCCCGAGCAGGGTGAAGTGTTTCGACCACAAAACACAGTGAATTCACTTTACACTATATTCTGTGAACCGCTTTGAGACGTCGAGAAGACGTGATCAGGCGCTATATCAAATGCAAGGATTATAATTATTATTGCTTGAAATCTGTATCGTAATCTTGGTGTCAGAAATCTGGCAACGCCTTGCAATGCAACATCTGGCCATATGCACCACAAAGCATTGCACAATTCAACTATTGTGGGTGGTTTTAAAGCACATGCACATCACCGTCTGTGTTCTATTCTTGCAGTGTAATTGATGCCCAAACATGTCACATCTGTGATTCTAAGCTGCAAGTTAACAGCCACACAACACATCAAACCCCAAACAGTTACAGACGGCATTGAGCATTGCCAGAAATATGCAAATAAAGATTCTGTATGCAGAAGTTAAATAGAACAGAGACAAAGGCATGCAAAGATATACAGGTACAAATAATCATAATAATCCTTCCATTTGATTTTGCATATTATCACATCATCAAGATGCTTCAAAGTGCTTCACAGGATGTACTCTAAGTGTCGGAACTGTGCGAATGCAAATGTATGTAAGAAAAAGACACACAGAGACAGCGTGAAGAGTAAATCACCCGAGGTTAAAAGTCAATAGAAACACATTTAACTAGCTTTTGGTGAGAGCGGTCAGATGGACAGATATGAGAGTCAAGGGAACCTCTCCCAGATATCCAAGACATAATCTGAAAATAGGAGCATTCCACAAGGAGTCTACTTATTATATTTTATTTATCAGACTTTCAGTTGCTAAATCAAGAGTCTGACAGGATGACCAAAGTCCATAGGGTGACTGAAGAGAACAGTATCGACTCTCTGTAGGCTTGTTCATCGTGTCAAAGTTGTATCTTCTATCGATTTTCATCTCAGAGCCATCAAGTCATTCTTGCACTATCT